TGACCCTCTATTTACCAAGCATGTTCTTCTCTAGGGACTGGTCCCTTTTAATACATATCTAAAGTACATCAGATCAAGTCTTACCATCCTCCTAAAGAATATTCTGGCTGTATATATTCTAAGATGGATTTATTCAGTCTTTATTTTTTCATTATGAACTGGGTGAAGATTTACAGAGCAAATGGGTTTCCCATTCACCAGTTCATTCACATTTTGTTGCATGTCATTGATTGCAATCCCTAGAATGGAGCATTCCTGTCTCCTGGCAGTCTATCATGTATGTCATATTCTCCAGCAACACCACACTCCAAATGCACGAACTCGCTGATCTTCCTTATTCATTGCCCAGCTTTCATATGAATATGAGGCGATTGAAAATATTATGGCTTGGGTCAGGCACACATTAGTCCTTAAAGTGACGGATTCGTAACACGTTTAAATTATTTTGCAGCAGATTTGTCTTATGGAATGTATCTTTTGAGATCTTGACTGCTGCTTTCATGCATGTTAACTGTGGATCCAAGAAGGGAATCCTTAAAAACTTCAGTATTTTCCCCGTTTATTATAATGTTGCTTATTAATCCAGCTGTGAGAATTTTTGTTTTATGTTGAAGTCTAATCCATACTTAGTGGATTTTGGTTCAAACCTCAGCTACACAGAACAGACTAATGTGGAATGAAGATGATAACCCCTCCCTCCCAAAGTTTCTCTGTTAAATCTGAGAAGTGAGCCCTGGGTAGAAGCCCTTTCTTCCCTCTCTGTTGCCCCCACACCATAGATCCACATGAAGTTTATGTCCACCATGGGTGTGTAGCCCTCACAGCAGCGGCTCCCATTGTCTCAGATGGGAAACGCTGACAAAACTTTAAGAAACTTGCTCAGAATCTCAAAACTCTACAAAGGTAGAATCCAAGCCAACCTCACAACCAATATTCATAAACATCATTCCAATTTAACAGACTGGCACCACTTCCAAGTTGACTCTGAAGTGGTTCCTTTTCCGTTTCCTTTCCTCAGTTGTGTACAGCACAGCCAGGCATCAGGGGTACACATCTATTCAGCGGGGTGCATCAGGGGGTACACATCTATTCAGCGGGGTGCATCAGGGGGTACACATCTATTCAGCGGGGTGCATCAGGGGTACACATCTATTCAGCGGGATTCATCAGGGGGTACACATCTATTCAGCAGCAGAGCTAGTTGAGCTTTCCATGTAAGTTCAGCACATTCACCTGACAGACTTTCAGCTACCACATTTTTCAGGCTCTTTTTATATGTTCTATTTTCCTGATCATAAACGTGTTCATCAGTGAATCCCAAACTTATTTTCTTAACACCCACAGGTGTCTCAATAAAGTAAAAAATGTTGCTCAGTGCAGGACACCAGGCTTCCAAGTATCTTGTTAAGGGCTGTGGAGTCAATTCTGACTAACAATGACCGTACTATATAGGATTTCCAAAGACCGTCTGGTGGGTTTGAACTGCCAACTTTGTGGTTAGCAGTCCAGTGCTTATCCTACAGTGCCAAACCAGGATTCCAGATACATCATTGGGTGTCACAAAATTTTAAACTGTCAATTGAATTTTACAAGGCAGATGCCTGTTCAGTGGGGTGAAGGTGAGAAGAAAAGGTTATTGGAATATACAAGTTTACAGATAGCAATTGGGTGTTGGCTTCTCAGGAGGTCAGATTCACAGGATATGCTGACTGAAAACAGTTTCATATATGATTGACTACTTACCTTTTCCCCAGATGATGCTTGTCTGTACAAAGGGAACCCTAAGAACATGAATTGTGAAGTCCCTCACTTACGTTTCTATTCCAGCTCTATCACTTACCTCAGAAGTTACCTAATCCAGCTAGCAAGTTCCCTCATTTAGAAAGCAGGGCCAATGGTCAACATCAGCCCCTACTACATTAAATGGAGAAAAACCTGAAGTTGTCAAAGACTTCATTTTGCTCTGATCAATCATCAACACTCATGGAAGCAGCAGTCAAGAAATCAAAAGGTGTATTGTATTAGGCAAATCTGCTGCACAAGAACTCTTCAAAGTGTTCAAGAGCAGAGATGTCAGCTTGAGGACTAAGGAGCACCTGACCCAAGCCACAGTATTTTCAGTAACCTCATATGCATGCGAAAGCTGGTTAGTGAATAAGGAAGACCGTAGAAGAATTGATGCATTTGAGTTATGATGTTGGAGTTGGAATATTAAAAGTACCATGGACTGGGTTGGAAGTATGGCCAGATGCTCCTTAGAAGCCACGATGGCCACACTTGCCTCATATTTTGGACATGCTATCAGGAGGGACAAGTCCCTGGAGAAGGACATCACGCTTTGTAAAGTGGAGGGTCAGCGAAAAAGAGTAAGACCCCCCCCCCCACGAAATGCAATGGCACACAGGCAGCAGCAATGGGCTCATCCGTGGCACCGATTGTGAGGTTGGCGCAGGGCCAGGCAGTATCTACTTCTTCTGTGCATAAAGTCGCTATTGTTGTTGTTAAGTGCTGTCCAGTGGGTTCCGACCCATAGCGACCCTGAACAGGGTGGGTTTCCGAGGCTGTAAATCTTTACGGGAGCAGAAAGCCTCATCTTTCTCCCGCGGAACAGCTGCTAGTGTCGAACTGCTGACCTTGAGGTTCGCAGGCCGATTTGTAACCACTACTCTACCAGAGCTCCTTTGTTGGTCCCAAGTCGACGGTACCTAACACCACCACATTAAGTGGCTGTTAAGATTAAATGTAGTCACTCAAAACTGTTGATTTTGTTTAAGAAGGAGCACATGAATGTTTTAAACGGACTGGGGGAAGGAGGATTCACACTTCTTAAAAACCTGCCTGCCTTGGCGCCGCTCAACCATCTAGTCCCACAAACACGTATAAATAGTAAAATCCCAAGAACTCTAATCACAAGATCTCCGAGTTCAAACCGTTAGTTTCCCTTTAGTCCCTATGACGGCTGCACCTTAATTCGCTATTAACTCCGCAAAGGCAGGATCACCCCGTACTGCTGCGCAAACAGCAGGGCAGCACCAAGAATTCACCGGTATAAGATGCAATGTTAACTGGATGAAGCACCGTGGCGCGTCCCCGCATCTGCGGAAAGAGCAGAGTGACGACAAAAGGTCAGCAAAGCTCAGCAAATCGACTTTGCAAACCGCCGTGGTCCCGGGTTTTCGAGACTGCACAATCCAGCGTAGCAGCAGAGAGCCACCGACTACATGGGCGGACGCCATGTTTACGAAGCGTCACGGGCTCCAGTTGACGTCACTTCCGTCGCCCTTGTGCGAGGCTAGGCAGGACTTTCCGGCGCCTCTGATAGGCCGGGCCTACTACATCCCATAGTGCTTTGCACAGTCACTTTCTTTCCGCTCGGCTTTCCGCTTCGAGGAGGTAGGTGGATTAGAGCGCTGGGCCGTCGGACTCTATCGGCCCCCATCCACGGCCAGCGGTGTGGGCCTACTGCCTCCGTGGCCATGGAAAGCCCGAGCAGGGGCCTCTTTTTGCCACAGGAGGCATCGGGCTGTTGTATGGCCTCCGGCGACGGAGATGAACGCCCCGGGGTGGAGATCCTGATCCGGGACCTAGGGCCGCGGTGGGCCTGGCGGCCAGGTAGTGGGCAGCAGCGCCAGTTCGTCCCGAGCCTGGTCCCTAACCTGGTCTTCTCTCGTTGGGGTCCAGGGCCGTAGCCAGCCATGGCGCCCAGCCGGAATGGCATGATTCTGAAGCCTCACTTCCATAAGGACTGGCAGCGGCGAGTAGCCACGTGGTTCAACCAGCCGGCACGGAAGATCCGCAGGTGAGGGTCCCCGGTTCCCAGGAGCGCGGGTGTGGGAGCGGCAGAGTGCACGGTCACATGATGACAATCTCCGGAATCGCTGTACTGCTTTGATGAAAGCTCATTTGAACCCTTTTTGTCTGAAGGCCGTGGGTGAGAGTAGAGGTGGGAAAATGCTTTGCTGGTCGGGGTGAAGGACGGGGTCGGGAGGGGAGGGGACCCACCCCGAGCTG